AGGACACTATCGATAACGGTGCGAAGCGATTGTTGGACCTAGGCACGCAGGCTGGAAAGAGAGGCCAGACAGCTCGGAAGTACGGCTGGTAAGGTATGTTGATAACGTAACAGTAATTGTAGCATTGATCGGTTTTACAGTAATGATTGTGTTCTTTTGTTGGACACTTTATGGGGGGTGTTATCGTGTAGTAGTTATTCGATATATGTGGGCAACAACGACGGCGGCGTTGGTGGCTTTAGTTCCTGGGCTTATTACGGTGGGACTATCGTGTTCTTATATTAATGAGCTCTGCAGGAGGTTCCATATACCAGATCCTAGTAGTCTTATTTGGGTACATGCGGTAGACTCTAGAGCTGAACTTGAGGATGCTCCTGCTGATGCTATGTTCTACGAGTCGGACGCCGGTGCTTTATCGGATGATGGACGGGTGGTCATGTGTCATTATCCAACGCAGACCACGAGTGATCTCTATCTGGACGAGCTCTTGTCTGAGGTAGAAGAACGAGGAGTTGGTCTTAAGATCGATATCAAGCTGGAGGAGTTGGTCGGACCTGTTGGGGAGCTCTTGTCAAGGGGCGAGGTGGACGTACCAGTGTGGTGGAATGCTGATGTGTTCGGTGATAGAAAGCTGCCGCTTAGAGCACTGGCTGAGGTTGCTGATGAGAATACTGTGTTGAGCCTGGGGTACATCGGAGTTCGCTTTGGAGAGATCGAGAAGAAAGACATAATCGCGCAGTTGACAGAATCGGTAGCCAACATGACTGTTTTAGTGTTTTGGTAGGAATCTTGCTTTTATCAGGGCCTTGTTTCTGCCTCTTCTGGGGAGGTTACTTGTCGACATATCACATTCGCATTCTCAGCGCGGTTGGCTCTAACGTGCATCCCTGAGCTTGTGAAGTTACTTGACGCTTTACCGACTACTTCTTTGACTCTGTGGACGGGGGCGAATGACATGACGGGCTTGAGCAAAGCTGAGGAAATGCAGTTGCGACAGGGCTTGCCTATGGAACGAGTTTTTCTTGATATCAAGCGCCAGACTTGGCTAGGGTGGTTCGCCTCCTGGCTGCAGTGGGCGTGATTATAATGATGTTTTATAGTCTTGCATTGGTATAATCTTATACTCTCTCTTGGAGTTGTTGG